GTTTCGTTTTGTTTATAAAATTATTGGAGTTGGGTTTTCGGTACAGGATACTTCGGAAGTTTGAGCGAAGCGCTCGGGAGTGGAATTGGAAACATGTTGGATGGAAGCGTGTCGTCACAGGTGATAACCACTACTAATGCATTGGGCAACAATAGCTGAACAGATGAGCAATTTTAATAGGCTTTATGCTTAACTTTACAGGTAACTAGGCGCTGGAAGCGCTCTGCCCTTCTGTCACCAGAACAGGAAGCGAAGCAATACCTCGACAAGTTTGATATTCACCTTCAACCTGACGCTTCAGAGGTTCCATATTAAAACAACATTTTGAAGATTCGGATAATGCGGCGCTATCACGTCATACTTCAGTATCACCTCATCCATTTCAATTCAGATTGCGAAAGGATTCCAATCTCTAGCCGAAGAGATCAAGCAAAAAACACTGAAAGCTGTAAGAGAGAAGGACGAAAAGGAAAGAAGGGACAGACCATTGTGATATTTGAAGCTGTATTCCAAATTTGACATACATTATTCATGAGTTTTGAGTAATGAAAGTGATTTTTGCCTAGTTCTGATTGAGCTGAACAATTTTGCACCTTACAGTCGTAAAGTTTACTTAACACTCAATTCTTCTTCACCATTTACACTGCATGTAAAGTCATAAATATATTCTTCCAAGCTCTTAATTTGTTTTATAGAACAGTAGAGCAGTAGCGTCTTAGACGTCGATTCATTTCTTCCCGTGCTGTTGAGCACATCGGGCGACGAATTCTTTCCATTGCTGACGATTTTGCGCAAGTATTTCACCTTCATCCCTAGAAACATCCATGGTTTTAAGTCATTATCGAATGTTCGTCTCCACGTGTTTCTGGGACGGCCCCTTGCTCTTCTGGCTCCTGGAGGAATCCAGTACATGGCCCTTCGTGGAATACGATGTTGTGGCATACGTAGAGATATGTCCAGCCAGTCGGAGTCTGCGCCGTGCCACAATCACGTGGAGGCTGCTCATACCTAAACTTCCTGATTAGTGATGTCTTCTGTATACCGTATTTTCATGATTCGGCGAAGGCAACGTTGATGGAAGCATTTATTTTCCCGACGAGTCCAGCAGTGATTTTCCATGTTTCGCTTGCATACAGCGCCGTGGAAATAACAATGGATTGGTATAGCCGCATCTTAATGTTATGTTAGATAGAGGGCATTGTCCATAGCTGTTGAAGTCGTTGGATTACTAATGCTGCCTTTCCAATTCGAATACGCGCATCCGTTTCTGCCTCTTCTTCGCAAATTGCTGTACTTTCCAGTCAGCACATTTCCTTTCACTTAAGCTCTGAACAGCTTCAAGGAACTCCACTTTTAATGGAAGTGCCGGACGATCATGTTCATCTTGATCATGTTGTGAAGAGTTAGGTTTTTCCTGGATTAGCCCAAGGGAAAGCATTGTACTATATAAGACATAACTCCTTCTCAAATAATGATGTGATGGATGATGTTGTCGTTTGCCCATATAGCAATCAAATAGGAATGATGAAACTTCATAAAACCTCAAGAGATCTAACGCTTTCAGCAAAAGCGGAATCCTTTTTTGCCCTCTTGCCAAAAGTCAGTGCATATTCACCTGTATCACCTGTCGTCCCGTTGATCGTGCTCGAGCGGGCGCCAGCAACGTCTCCATTCGTCCCTGTCGCGTGCTAGAGTGGTCCAGTGGATCCTCCTCGCTCGAGGGACACGAAGTCCTTCATTCCTTTCGTTCAGAGCTTTCGTGAAGAAGTCTGACCATCGGGCCGGCGGTCGTCCAGGTGTTCGTTTGACGTCCCGAGGGATCCAGTCGGTAACCGCTCTGGTCCAACGGTCATCGCAAAATCGCATGACGTGTCCGGCCCACCTTATCTTCGATTCCTTGGCGAAAACGGCAGCGTCCCTGATCTTCGATCGTTGGCGTAGTTCGGCACTCCGGATTCCCCTCTGCACTTGCGTGTATAGGGTTACTCCTAGCATCGTCCTCGACAGCGACCAGGGTGAAAATCGTGTCGAGTACGTGGTCGCAGAGGTACGACCCCCCCCCCGAAATCGAGATCCTGGCACGACCCCCTCTAACAGAGCAAATTAATTCAATTAAAATAAATCCTGCAAAACAAATCAAAAAAAATTCTGCAAAATAATGCTAAGGACGCTTCATCTTGTCATCTATGCACGTCTTCCATCGCTGCATACTTTTGTGTACATACTGAAATATCGACTCGAGGAAAGAGGCATTAACTTTGTGTGTGACCTCAAGGCGAGGTTCGTTCAGAAACGCACAGAAATCCTGAAGACACGGGGTTGCGATTCAATCTTGATTCTTGCTTGAGTATATCAAAACAGCCGAGTGTATCAAAGGCCGATTCAACGGCAGCTGCGGCGCGATTGTCACTGGGTCAGATTTGCCGAAATTTCAAAAAAAAAAAAACGTCCGAATCTACACCCTCGATGAAAAGGTTGCGATACTCCCATTTCACCAAACCTTGAAGCAGCTTGAGGTAGAGTTAGATAGAGCTGGATTTCGCGTTTCCAACAAGCATCGAAATTGCTCTGGAAGCCTTCCTTGCAGAAAGATAGGGTCTGTCAAATTTCGTCGAGTAAATGTCGAGGAGGCCCACGACTGCTGCATATGTCATCGAAATATTCTCAAGCACACTCGATTTTGCCATCTTCAAGAGCAATATATCTCTTATATTGTAAGATCCTGAAAAAGGGAAGATAGTTTTGGAAAGCGGAAGGTTTGCGCTTCCTGATGGTCTGTTTAGTTTTCTTCTACAGCTTTTTGGTTGAAGAGATAATTGCGTCGAGGATCTATCGAGGTCGGATCCGGCCACCTGGAAATCCGCTCCCTCATTCACCATTGCAAGTGTGACTCGTTGGCAACACTCGGAATGTGTCTAGAACAATATCTTTGAACGCAAACAATAAGAATAGGAGCAATCGTCATCATCCGATTTGGTATTGGTATAAGCCATGCATCCCTCCTCCACTCACAGTTGCAGAATCGATTGAAAGGTGTTATATGATGGGGACCTTCGAACGAAACTGTATTGTAGTAGACATAGTGTGTTGTGCTATTCCTGTAACCTAAAAAACAACTTCATTTGCCCAGCGCTTTTCTTCACGACTTGTCGTTTTTTCCGACAGGGTCCCTAACAACAGCGTCATTCTCAGCGAGGTATTAAGGGAGAATGACGAAAGTGCAATAGCGAGGCGGTGCCTTCGCACGCGAATGCGTTGCGCACAGTCACTAAATCTTACTTTGCGGGTTCACTTCATTCTTTGTACTGCCTTCAAATACGCCCTTCTCATGAAGGTGGAGGAATGGAGCGACTGAACCTGCAAAGAAAATTTAATATCATGTTTTTTTTCGGATGTTTTCATTTTCTGCTGCGCTATACCCTATTACCTATCTGCACCATGATACCACTTCTGTTACTGACCCCCAAGAGTACGACCCCCCATGGACCAGCCCAACAGGTACGACCCCCCTGTCGAAATCCTCGACCGAATATCCACCCCCTGCTCCTCGACAGCCGCTTTCGAAATAAACGCTGACACTGCAAATCTCTGCTGCCTGCCGGCAGAGTCCAAGTCTTTGAGCGCCAAGTTAGGACAGGAAGACAGCGAAGCGAAGAGGATGGGCACAAGAAAGAGTGTTCATGCTTCAAACCACTATTATCCTCGAAGTCTCGGTCTTTCCAACAAGCCGCTCGTTTCCTCCTGCTCAGCTCTGGAGCTAGGTCGTTCATCATATTGATTTCCCGACCTAGGTACACGTAGCTGGAGCATTCGGTGATGTTCGTTCCGTTGAGCGTGAATGGGGCATCAGAAACCAATCCCTTTCTCATAAACATCGTCTGTTACGTTCAATCTAGCTGAAAGCCGGACTCTTACCTACAGGCCGCAGTCGAAATGGCTCCAGCATTCGCATTCGCTCTGCTTGCTTCGATGTTCGGCGTTATAAGAACGATGTCGTCAGCAAAACGAAGGTGGTGTAGTTGCCGGCCGTCGACCTTCACTCCCATGTCTTCCCATTCCAGTTGACGCATGACGTTCTCGAGAGCGGCGCTGAAGAGTTTGGGCGAGATGGTGTCGCCCTGTCGGACCCCTCTTGACGTCGATGATGACCTCCTTGTAGAATGGTGAGATTCTGGTCGTAAAGTTGCTGTAGAGCTCACGAAGAATCTTGATGTACTGAGTAGGGACGCCCTGGTTGCCCAAGGCTTCGATGACCGCTTCTGTCTCCACAGAGTCGAAGGCCTTCTTCAAGTCGATGAACGTGAGACAAAGCGGCATCTTGTACTCCCGTGGAACTTCAATGAGTCTTGTAACCGTGTGGATATGGTCGATCGTGCTGAACCCTCTTCGAAACCCTGCTTGCTCGCATGGCTGTCCTTCATCTAGTATTCTGCCGATCCTGTTAAGGATGACTCGAGTGAATAGCTTGTAGATTACAGACAGCAGGCAGATTGGGCGATAGTTGCCAATGTCGTCCAGGTCTCCCTTCTTGTACAGCAACACGGTCCTGCTGGGTTTTCCACGGAGTGGGTACCTTGCATTCCGACAGGTAGCGCGTGAAGAGTCGAGCCAGAGTTTTGATATACAGCATGCGTGTAAAAAGAGGGACAATCATTCCATTCCTCTTCGTTCATAACTAGCAGATGGACATGGCTATCGAAGAGATCCGAGTAGAAGTCGTGGATGACTTTCTCCATTGCCCTTCGGGATGCAGTAACTGTTCCATCCGGACGTCGGAGGCAGGTCATCTTGGTCTTGTAGCTGGCAAAGCTTCGGCGGGCATTGCGGATGCTCCTCCCAGCCTCTGCTGCTTCAGCTAATACTGCTGCTCTTCGCTCCTTGAGATCTTCCTTTATCGCCTCTCTGCATAGCTTCGCAAGCTCGGACGTGAGTCGGTGATTGCCTGCAGCTCGTGCGGCTCCACGCTGGCGTATCAGTTCGAGAGTTTCCGGAGACAGACGTCCCTTGGTGACTTTCAAACTCTCTGCCTTCCTGCCACAATCGTGAAGATGTTCAAGCCGATAGTACTCCTCGTCGATGTTTTCGATGACGGAATCCTCCCATAAGCTGACGAGGGAAGCGAAGTGGTCCCAGTTGATGACTGTCCTGGGGCTTCGCTTCCTGAACTTTGCTGCTCTCTCAACACGCATCGAGAAGTGGAATCTTGCGCGGAGGAGACGATGGTCCGATCCCGTGTAGAACTTTGGAACAACAGCGACGTCGGTCAGGCAAAACCTTCGATTGAAGATGATGTGGTCTATCTCGTTATGGAACTGTCCATCAAGTCCAACGAAGGTGAGGGGCTTTTGGAACTGTGAGTTACCATGGATGGTGTTGGTCGACATGATAAACTCCGACAGTCTCTCACCCTGCTCATTCCATTCCATTCCGTGAGTACCGATGTGAAGTTCTTCAGCCGTTCTTCTTGGGCCAATCTTAGCGTTGAAGTCGCCG